TAAATTCTACTAGATGGTTCCAGGTGCCAGGTACTTTGGTAGCTATAACTGAACAACCCAGCATCCCTAAGGTTGTGTAAAGCTGATAAACCCCAATAGTCTAAATAAGAAACAGAATTCTGCCCATCATTAGAAGTTTCACCATTGTTTTTAAATAGACAAGAATTTTAATATTAAATTTATTCCTAGAATAATAATTAGTCAGCATAGCAATAGTGGAGGGAAGTTGCAAGCACTCTACACTGAACCTGTTCTCCTGGACCCTAGGTAGCTGGTTTCTTTAAAGCTGTCTTTTGTATCCAAACACTGTCCTTTCTGTCAGTTACAGTCACTTGCCGGCTCTGTCAGTAAAGCTCCTTGTCATCTCTAGACAGGACTCGGACAGCTTCTAGAACATCAATTCTGTCACTAACACTTATTTCTTACCAACCTACATAAGATTATATTAACTTAACCAGACTAGAGACATTCTTTTTCTGTTAAGATCAACCTTTAGGCCAGACCTGTCCTCACTCTGAGTTTTTCTGCAGGGTCCATGTCAAGAGCGCTCTCTCCTGCTCCCTCTCAACTGCCTTAGTCAGTGACTCAGTTTGCAGTAGAACACACACACACACACACACACACACAAATATTTCCCTCAGTTAACACTCCATTAACTTTGGAGGTGAATTACTTTAGAGGTGTGCTTCTGCTAAATTATAACTGGCACATTCAGGTCAATTTCTCCCCCTCTATTTATCCTGACATATTTCTCTCTCAGGCATTAAGAACCACCACCTTTTCAGAGAAGACAGCTTTGCAGAGAAAGCCTCAGCCAGGTGACTGCATGAGCTATCCAGGTGGGGGAAAATCCAAAATACCTCCCTTGAAGAATCCTAGGCATTTTTGCTTCTCGTTCTTGTGTTTCTGGTGTACATTGTAAAAACTAGTACAGCACTGAAGGTGCAGCATTATGGTTATTCTCCACACATAAGATACTCCAAGACCCTGATTGACTTTAGCATTTCTCATATTAGATCCCTGATAAGTCTCAGCTGTAGGTACAATACTAATAACATCAATGGGAAGATTTTCGTGTCTTGGGTATTATGGCTAAGTCCTTTCTATTCAACAACTCACATAACCCCACAACAAATCTTTGAAGTGAATATCAACATCCCCACTTCTAAGAGAAGAATAATGGAATTCAGAGTCATAAAGTACCTTCCCAAGCTCAGACAGTTAAGTAGATAGAGTCAGGGATAGGTTAGAGTGAAGTAGTCACATGGCATCTAAGTGGATTTGGAATAAACCAGGTATTTGGGCAAAGCTCTGAGCAAATAGGGATAGGATTGAAAGCTAGGCTCCCATGAGGTTGTAGAGTGGGGACAGGGAGCAAGGATGACGGAAGGAGGCTATTCCATGATGCTAGAGTTAAACAGTGAGTCACAGCCTACTTCTCACCTTCATGTGGTTGGAACTGGAGAACATTACGTTAAGTGAAATGAGTCAGGCAAAGAAAGACAAAAGACAAATGATGCATGATCTAACTTAGACATACAAGCTAAAAAGTGTACCTCAAAGAAGAAGAGAATAAAATTGTGGCTACCAGGCCTGCAAAGGCTGTGAGGGAGGGACAAGTGGAAAGAGGGTGGTTAGTGATTGCTGGGGTGCATTTGGATGGAAGGATTAGCTTCTAATTAGCTTCTTCTATTAGCACAGTAGAATAATTATGGCTAGCAACAATTAATTGACTATTTCCAAATAGCTAGTGAAGAGAATTTTGAATGTTCCCAACACAAAGGAATGATATAAGTCTGAGGTGATAGATATTCCAATTACTCCATCTGATTATTGTATTTTGCACTCATGTATTAAAATGTCACACTGTGCCCCATAAATATGTACAATTACTATGTGTCATAAAAATAACATATATTTAAAGACAAATAACTGAAAATTAAAATATCTGTAGCAAATAGTATCAGAAAAATACCACCACGAAAGGGAATTAGCAACTGATAATGCACACTATTGGTGTTATTACTCACACAAGTCAAAAATAGAGGCTGTTAGGTATAGAATAGGAAAGGCTACGCAGTGTCCACTCCTGGAGTTTGGATCCTCATTAATTGACTGGATGCAGAATTAACTTGACTCAGAGAGCCACTACAAAGAGCAAATAAATACCTGGCAAAACTGAAAAAGAATAAAATATTTAAGAAGCAGTGTTTGCCTATTCAGAGGAATAAGTTCTGCTTTCTTAAGGTACTTTATATTTCAGACTGTGTTGCCATATAAATCAGGAATGATTCATTCCATAAGTATTTATTGAATACCTAGCACACACCACAGAATTTGCCAGGTTCTAAAAATGGCACGTTAAGACACGGTTCTCACCAAGTGGACAAATAGACATGCAAGTAAACCTATGATTATAAACTGTGATAAAAGCAATGGAGACAAGTTAAAGGGCTTAATGAACATTTTGAGGGACCAGGGACAGGAAGATATTTAAGATATCCAAGGAAGATATTTAAGCCCAAATGAATGGAAATATGCCAATAAAATGAGCAGGAGGTGAGAATGTTGAGGGATGTTGAACAGAGAGGACAGAACTGCATCACCAAGGCCAGCCAGGAGGGAAAACTGATGTTCTGTATTCTGCAGCACCTCAGCTCCCTTGGCTATGGCAAGTTAAAAGGGTCATAAAATCTCTCTCTCAAACTAGGTTGATGGACTTTTAGTAGTAAGTTGTTTTCCCTCCTTAGGGTCAATAGAGGAAAGAGAAACTTATAGTTGGAAATCTGACTGAATGAGGCTGATACTAAGTCAATCCTTGAACTTCCCAGGTAGTATTGATAAATCAGATCTCTTGGATTTACATAATACTACACATTCTTATCTCACTGCTGCTATACTATAATTCCATCTTTATAATTTTTTCTCCCTTTCTAGATTTTGAGATTATATAGTACAGAGATGTTTCACTTAGATCTATGTTCCTGGAGTCTAGAATACTAGATTAGTGCATGGAAAAAAAAAAAATCAATCCAGCCAGCTGCTATGGTGCATGCCTGTAATCACAGAGACTCAGGAATCTGAGGCAAGAGGATCACAAAGTCAAGGCCAATCTGGGCAACTTAGCAAGACCCTTGTTACTACTTAATAAGATCCTCTCTCAAAATAAGAGTAAATATACTAGGGTTGTGGCTCAGTGACAATACATCCCTGAGTTCAATTTCCATAACTGCAAATCCCTAGGTTCAATACTGAGTATTGAGGGGAATGAAAGTATCTAAATATAAGTAATTTCTGGCTGGAGATATAGTTCAGTGGTAGAGTCCTTGCCTGTATATGTGAGGTTCTGGGTTCAATCCCCAGTACCATGAAAAAAAAAGGAAAAATAAAAATAAATAGTTCCATGAGAAATAGCTTCTTTACTTTTTTGGATGATTCTCAAAATCCCAGTGAAAGAAAAATGGAAAAAAATATACTGACCTAAGCACTGAGTATACTACCAGTTGTTTTCTTATAATTTGTCAGTGGGTTATGAAGGCTACACAGCTGAAGACATAAAGTCTTCCACATCACCACCTGACTTCAAAAACAAATGCATCCATCCGCAGAAAAGCAAGTCAGCACTGAGTTCATTTGTGCTTTCATTGAAAATCTGATGATTTCCACTAAAAAAAAAGAATTATATTTCAAACTAATATCATATAAATTCAACTGTTCTCAAGATGTCCTACCGGAGTCATTACATTTCACATAACAATGCCAGCCACCCACAGCCACTGTGACTATCACTGAAGACAATGGCTAGATATCAAGTATAATAGGACCAGACGCAGCAAACAAATTAAAATGTGTGTCTTTCTCAAATGATACTGTTTCAAGGGGTGTAAGTGACATGGCAATTAATATCTGTGAACAGCTGGTTTTAAAGATTAAAGAAAGTGATTATTTTGCCCTGCCAATGGACAAATCTACCTTAATGTGCTGAGATGTTAGCATTTTAAGTTACATTTCCATGAAATACTAAGGATAAGGGCATGCTGTTTAGAAAATTTTAGCCCAATCTTACAATAGACTATTGTGAAGTATTTCAAGAGACAAGTCAGAATTTCAATATACCAACCAGTAAAAGTACATTGCTGTTTATAGGATTCCGAAACCAATCACAGATTAATCAAAGAAGGAAATCATTTGATTAAAAAGAATGATTCAGATTCTTATTGGTCTTTAAAAGAGAGAGGATATTTGTCCCTATATTTGGAGGACTACCATCAGTTTTAACCAGAGTAAGCCTCAAAATGACTGTGTGTAAGTCCCAATACCATGAGTACAAATATTATACAAAGTCTAAGGTTCAACATCACTTTAAACCAAAATGTCTCAACAAGCAAATTGGTAGGATGATATTTAGTGATCAAGCCATTTATAGTAGAGCTATGTTATCCCAAAGGGATGCATCTTGTGCCCTTCTAGATCTTAAGAACATTCTTAAGACAGGCATGGTCACACATGCCTATAAATCCAGCAACTCGAGAGGCTGAGGGAGGAGGATTACAAGTTCAAAGCCAGCCTCAGTAAATTAGTGAGGCCCTAAGCAATTTAGCAAGACCCTGCCTCAAAATAAAAATAAATAAAAAGGGCTAGGGATGTAGCTATCAGTGGTTAAGTGCCCATAGTTTCAATCCCCAGTGCCAAGAAAACAAACAAAAATCAATGAACAACCTAGATCAGCAAAACTGCAATGGATCTTGTTTTGAAGGTTAGTCCTGAAAAAGTCATTCTACCACTATTACTCTAAAAGATTTACTTCTTAAGAAACAAGGCCAGGGGCTGGGGTCATGGCTCAGAGAAAGAGCGCTTGCCTAGCATGTGTGAGGCCCTGGGTTCGATCCTCAGCACAACATAAAAAAATAAAATAAATGTATTGTGTCCACCTACAACTAAAAAATAAATGTTTTTTAAAAAAGAAACAAGGCCAATTCTTTCACATATAAATATTTATTAAGGCCTTTCTTTCACAGACAGTGTATTTGTCCCAGTAATAGAAGGTGTTGCCCATGGCCATAGAGAGAAAGCTGAAGAAAGAGAATCTAGTCCAAAGAGAACTATGCCAGTCATGAGCTGAGGAGGTCATCCGTCTACCACCAGCCAAGTCCCATTTCCTTGTCTCCACACCTGAAAATGTTAAAGAGATGATTACACTTTCTTGAATTTTGTTCCTTATTTAGAAAAATATGACAGATACTCATGTCCAAAATAGTTTCATAATGTCCTTAACGCCACACCTTAGTAAATCTAGAAATGGGGGAGTTGCTTCCACATAGTCCACATAAAAAATGTTAAATTTGCCCATGCCCACTTTATACTTTAATACACACAAGAATGTATAGAAAAGTGTTCTTGCTAGTGATGGGGTAGAGAGGAAACTTATTGGGGCCTCTTGGAAAAGGTTGAGAATCACGGATCTAGAATCACTGCCATCCAGGGAGTGGCAGTATATTTCCATGAGATGGTGGGTAGTGGCTGAGGAAGCTTTCAGATCCAAGCTGAGTGGATTCTTCCAAATGCAAGTCAGAAGAAAAGTTACAAAATATTTACTCATTATCAAATAGCTCATTATCACTGCCACATTACACATATTGCTGACAGTGAAGAGTCTAGGCAGGGATGTTCTTTACGATCTTAGTGCCACAGGCAAGACTCAAAGGCAAACAGAAATGTTTTAAGGGGAAATATTAAATGACTTCATTGTGATGTGTGAAACTAAATGGCAGAATCGGCATCCTCTCCCATAAACTCATGTAATAGAAAATCTTTATTTACGATATTGGTTTCTGTTATCATTGCATTAATTGGTACCTAAGAGTAACCATTTCTACCTTAATCCTTATTTAGAAACATCTAGTGCTAAAATATATTGATGGTAGCCGGAAGCAGTTAATCAATATTGTAGGGATTCTTCTGATGTGGAAAATCAGAACTTGGCAAATAGGTTTTCTGTCTTGTCCCTCAAATCAATAGGTCAATTTGTTCTGGTTCCATGCAGTCAATATATATTACACCTAAAAATAATAGACTCTTTAAACCTAGTTGTATAGATCTCTATAAGTTAGCAAGCCAAATCTATGTACTACTAGGGGGAGCAGTGCACTAAAAAATAAATCGACAGGATAATTCAATAGTGAAAAGGCAGAGAATCATTTTCTTATATGTCTGGTTCATTTCTTCTTTAATTCTCAGGGCCTCCCCTTGATAGCTTTTACATCTTTCCTCTCTTCTTACTCTTTGACTCTCTCATTATCTCAACCATCACTGCAGCAATCTCCAAACTTTCCAATATTATTAATGAATTTAACATAGATTAATTAAACAGTTATTTAGGTAGCAGACACTGTTCTAGGTACTTGGGAACATAAAAGAAAAAAAATTGTCCTCAAGGAATTTATATTCTATTGTGGGAAGATATGCAAACAAGAAACAGAACAAGAAAAAAATTAGATACATATTATGAACAACAACAAAACAAAACAGAAGACAACATAAGTGAGAAATATCAATACACTAGGGTGTGAAAGTAGGTTAGTTATAGCATTAGATAATCTGTCCAGGGACTCCTCAAAGAGAAGATGAAATCTGAGCAAGCTTGCAAGAGAGGAAGGAGCTGGCCAAGCAGATACCTATGGGAGAAGTATTCCAACAGAAGAAAAAGCCCAAAGCCAGGAGTGTGGTTGGTGTCTTAGTGTCTCTGTCTCTGTCTCTCTCTCTCTCTCCCTCTCTCCTTTTTTTCTGATTGTTGTCACTATAACAAAGTATTTGAAACTGGTTGATTTACAAACAATAGAGGTTTATTTTGGCTTAGAGTTTTAGAGGCTAAGAAGTCCATGTGCCACCACATGGAGGTGGTGTCTAAAATTACTTCAGTCTGTCACAACATAGCAGAAAAGTGGAAGGAAAGGTAGGCATGTGTGGAAGAGACCAAAGACATGGTTGGCCTTGTTGGAAAACAACTTGTTGCCTTGGTAACTAGTCTACCTGTGAGAACATCTGTGACCCTCTTAATGACCTAATTATCTCTTAAAGGTCCCACCACCTCTCAATGCTGCTAAACTGGGGACCAAATTTCAACATAAGTTTCAGAGGAAACAAACCTACATCCAAATCATAGCCCCTATATGTTCCAGGAATAGCAAGGAAAAGCTTGTTTCATAACATGGATGAATGAAGGATAGAGTTGTAGAAATAGTTTCTTTTCTTTTTCAAGTCAGAAATGTAGACAGTCTCAGAATCTCTCAGACCACCACCCATTCTGTCATATGTCATATTGATTTCACTTCTTCAATGTCCCTCTAAAGTATTTTCTAACTTATTTTAAGCATTTCTTACAGAGATCGCTGAAACAGTTCTTGTCTCTTCTCCATTCTACTGAGTTTCAAATTATGTTCTTGCAAATTCCAGGAATGTCTCAGCAGGGACCCAGGATTTGGTCACTTTACAGAAGTGAGGGGAACCTCCTTATTGTCCTGAGGTCAAAGATATGTCAGAATGTTCCTCAATATCTTGAATAGGGTTGTCTCTTAGTGATAACGTTTCAGGTGATTTTTACTTTCTTTTAGGTTTTTTTTTATATTACTTACTTTTTTAAAAAATCATATTACATTTATAACAATATAAATTTTATAATAAAAATGTTAACAATAAGCTTTTACATGAGGGACTTGCCCTATTTATTGACATGAGAAAATACATTACATTGTTGAGTAACAACACAATCTATAAGATAATACTATGTCTATCTTTAAAGAAGAGAAAGCACAAGTTACACACCAACACATTAGTGTATGTCTTTCTGTGGACACTGAAAACAGGTGACATTTCCTTACATGTTTAATGCATTGAATATATATTATTTTTCTCATTTTTTAAGTACAGCAATGTTGTTTTTATGTTTCAAACATTTTTTAGAACTAGTACTAAAAATCTAAATAGCATCATATTTATATTGTAATTACCTTTGTTCTCTCTGATGTAACAGCCTACCCATTTCTACCTCTTGATATGTGCTGCTACCCTACTGGCTGATTGACCACATCTAGAAACCCAGGAAAAGAAAGTGACATCCATGCAATTGATTCTTGTTTGTGCAGCCCTAAGATAAGTGAAAATGACTGGGGGAAAATGGCATTGGAGAGACTACAGAGAAAATCCCTGTTATTCTAAGCAGCAATGTGGATTACAACTAGAACCATAAACATCAACTTGGGCATTCTTACATTTTTTTGTGAAGATTCTCAACAACAATAATCTTGTCTATTTATCTCAGTTGTTTAATATTTGCCATTTAATGTCAATTTCTCTGACCTGGAATCTCCTTTTTCTCCTCTGCAAGAGTGTGTCCTGATTTCTTTTCTTGGAATTACATTCGTTCACTCATATCCTAATCATGAAGGGTTAACTTATGCACCTTACTTACATTTGTTCCTGGAAATCCTGACCAGAAAAGCTCTCCTCCATGAGCCCGCAGTGTCTTTATTTTATATCTAAGCCATCTTCCCAGTCAATGAGCCTCCCTCAAAGATTAATGTAGTTTGAACTTTTATAGAGGAATATCATTTGTGCGCTGTCATATTTAGCACAAATGGTGCTTCAGTCACAGCTCAGTAATATTCCAGCATATTATTTCCAAGACATTTGAGAGTTTAAAGAATTATTGAAGGGCACACTGTACTCATTTGGTAATAAGGCAGAGAGCACTGCCGTCTACCTATGATTTCAGCAAATGGAATCTCTGCTAATTTCATTGCACATAGCAAAATAGTTGTGATAGTAACCCAGATAAAATATCCCACTGGAGGAGATAGAGATATAGATGAGAGACAATTTTATAAGATCTCCAAGTATTGAAGAAGTAGTCCTGGGAGCTGAGGGCAAGATGTTGAGAATCAACTTCTCACTGTGGAATGTCAGCCTTGGGCTTGAGGTCACAGACTTTGCTTAGTCATTATTTGCTGACAGAAGCACCCAAGCTACACAGGAAGCATATAGCATAACTAGGACTTTAGAGCTACTACAGAGGAATGAAGGAGTTAACTCACTTAGGAGAAAACCATAAATACACCAAAATCCGGGTATTTAGTAAGAAAATTCCCTGACTTTTGCAACTTTGTGAAGGGCATAGTTAAGACTAATTTGATTTTTTTTTCCTTTTAATGTTTGAATGGACAGATATGTTTTAAAGGGATAAAAGGTCCTGCTCATTGTTACAGGTGACCAAATAGCAGTTTAAAGGTTTCTGGATGTGTGCTAACCAAAGAGATGTTGCTGTCATAAGACTTTATATATTTATATATATATATATTACTCCATCCCTTTCTTAGGTGTTGGCCTTAAGTTTTTTATTGAATTACACATTAAAAGCAATTATAGCACTTTTAACTCCTAGTTAAGAGAATCCTGAAAATAGAAATGGATCTTCTGCCATTGATCAGGAGTGGGCTCCGGCCTTTACAAAATCCAGTAAATACGAAATTCAGAATATCGGTTTGGAGTGTTTTTTTTCCTCACCAGATATAAATGATAAAAGAATACAGCACTGAGTCCTTGGACATTCTCTTGCAACCAGTAGGGGGAATCACTTAGAAGGCAAAGTAGAGAGTGAGAAGGGAAAGAAGTGGCCCTTGATAACATTACTAAGCCTCTGAGCCTAGCTCTGAAGTCTGATTTATCTTTGCTTTTCAGCAGCACAAACCAATCAATCTCTTTTAATGATAACATAGTTTGAGATAGGTTTCCAGCTATTTTCAATCATAAAAAGCACCAACTGACACACAGATCTAGAAAAAAATGTATGTAGTATTAAAAATATAAGTCAATAAGTATGATATCAAAAATCAATAAAGCATTTCAGGGGCCTATCGTCTTAAATAGTGCTCAACACCAAGCCACAGAGCCACCAAGTCAAGGCTCTTTGACTTGAATAAGTGTGACAACTTAGTACAAGACAACTTCCCATTTCTTAGGGTTCTGCCTGCAAGACAATTTTTAATTTATTTCTTGAGGTGCTCAGGATCAAACCCAGGGCCTCATGCATGCTAGGCAACTGCTCTACCACTGAACTACATCCCCAGCCCAGCATTTTTTTTTTTTTAAAGAGAGAGAGAGAGAGAGAGAGAGAGGGA